CTGGCAGGTGATAATCTGAAAATGGATAAAAACAGTTACACTCACTAGCATGCAATAGGAAGTGGTTTTATTGTGAATACAGTGTATTAAAATTTTGGCAAAAGTCCCAAAGGCTTATGTCCCTCTACCCCCTTTCCATATTTGCCTTGCTTCAACACAAACCCATCTCCAAAGCAAGAAAAATATATAAACATAGCTGGGCGTGGTGGCACACTCCTGGGCACTCAGGAAGCTGAGGCAGGAGGTTTGCTGTGAGTTCGAGACCAGCCTGAGCTATGTAGTGAGTTCCAGGTCAGTCTCAACTACATAGTGAGACCCTGTCTCAAACAAACAAAAAAACAAACAAAACAAAAATATATAAACAGACATACTATCCCCATTTCTGGTATCTGAGGCACTCCTATCTTCTCAACACCTTCCTTCTTTCTTCAGAGGGAGCAAGGACATCAAATAAGAAAAGCAAAAGCAGAAGAAATTGTAACTGAAACTGTGTCAAAAGAAAGGGAATGTAACCAAAACCTTAGACGATCCCATCTAGGTGTACAGGAACCAATGGATAGGGAGGGTCATTCTTCCGAGGTGGTTCACAGGCCACGATGTAGAATGTGAACTGGGCAGCATCTTTGTAGCCACAGTGAGGATACTTTCCTCTGGTGAGCCTGCATTTAGTCAAGTTGACAGGACTTGCACTCTGGTGGCAGTTTTCCTGACCGTTCTTGCAGGTGATGTTGGGTGACATGCAAGAATGGCTCACATTCTGGAAAGAGTCGTGAAGAAAGGTATTTGTAGGCTTACAGTGCCGGGTATAATTGTTGACACCACTCATTGCCCTTTCACACTGGAGAGGACTCAGGTTTATGTGCTGGATTTCAAACCACTGAGCCTTGGTGAGCTTCTTAGGCAGAGCCCACAGTGGACACAGTAGTACCAATAGCCCAAGCAGCAGTAGGAGAGGAAATCTCACATCTGGTGCCATTTTTTTTCTGTGTAGAAAAAGGAAAGATCATGATAATAATGGAAGCAATAAGAGCAAAATTGTTAATCATAACCACTTACATTCTTATTTTGCCTTTAAAAATTTCACAACTCTTTAAAAAATCTCTCACACAGTCTCATAATTCCAGTGAAAATAATGTGAGGTCAGCATCTTTCTCCTTTGATTGCCATCTCACATTGTTCTGTTTGACCTGTACTTATGCATGCAGTAACCCTCATAACCTGGTTGTTTTACTTCTTCCCTCCTGAGATGTTAACCTTCATCTCTGATCATCTCCTCCCAGCTATCTTCACTGCCTTACTCATCCAAGCCCAAAGTTGTACCCGCCTACCAGTGTCTGTGCTGGGTTCCTGGTGAGCTCAGAGCAGTGCTTAGTTCAGGTTCAGAGGATTCCTTCTGTATTTCTTCTCCCCAGCCCACCAGTGCTGCTTGTGCTGGGCAGAAGAAGATAGGTTCTGAGTACCAGAAAAGAAAAGCCTGCACTTTCCTGATCTGAACTTCTTCTGCAGTGAGGATGACAGTCTGGGTCTTTTAAAATCTCCTCTTCAAGGTCATATCATGATCACTATTTATAGATGAAGAACTCTCATTTGCAGAACAAGATGACTCAAGACAGTTTTAGGGAACTGACCACTTCCTGATAAATGTTTAGTGCTTCCTTCTTGTTTGGCATCCTGAGTTTTTTGAAGCTCTATGATTTCAGTGTCTTAAGAGAAAAGGTAAATGTGATATAGCAGGGGTAATGCTGTGAGTTCCAGCTATAGATATGAATGAACTATTCATTTATGTGTGTATTTATTGGGCCAGATCCTGGGCTACTCACATTCAGGAGTTCCTGTTCCAATGAAAAGACAGTTGGGGAAGTAGACAAGTGTGTTATACATACAAAGATAAAGACAGATGGCATTTACAGGGTGACAAAGGACACTGCAGAGGCTGTGGGGAGACTGTGGAGAGCAGGAATTATTGGGACGCAGCACCTGAGTTGAATTCTGAGGAACAATCAGATGTCAGTGAAGAGGGTGATACGGCCTACAAAGAGGAAAATGTGTGTGAAGAGACCTATAAGAAGAAAGGAGAAAGGCAAATCTAGGGCATTTGCCTGTGAATCTGTTCTTTCCTTTCTACTGGTGCCACAATACCTTCATTCTAAACCAGATTTTCTCCTGGACATCTCATATAAAGCCCACCACATGTACTTCCTGCCTCTAGCCTCTCTGGAGCCCAATCAGCTTCCAGATCAGTCTTCTTCCAGCAGAGTTATAATAAATATACTACTCTTGTCCACTGCTTTTAATGGTTCCAAATTTCCACAGGGAATAAAATAATATCTGTGGTTTACTTGCTCTAAGGTTGCTTACAAGATACAAGTTTAATATACAAAAATTAATGCTGCTTTTTTGCTTTGCTTTGAAACAGGTTTTCACTATGTCACTGTGTAGCTCAGGCTTGTATAGAGTCCAGAGCTCACTAAGGTCCTGCTTTAGCCTCCTGAGTGCTGTAATTACAGACATGAGCTACTATGGTAGAACAGACATGAGGTAACCGTGGCCAACTCAAAATTCAGTTCCAGGAAGCCTTGCATGAATGTCAGCAGCAGCCCCACTGGACAATGCCATGCCATGCATACTACAAACTATCTGAATCAGGACTGCAGAGGTGTTGGGGGAGGGGGACATAAAGGCCATAGTTATGAGCCCCAGAAGATAGAGCAGAAGTGAACAACAGAGAAGGCCTCTCTGAGGCTCCTCAATGAAAACTGAAGCCCACCTGGAAAGTGAAGAAAATCTCTGCAATAAAGGCACACTGGACCACTGTGGTTAGTTAAGTCAGAATCAGCACCTCCCATAGAAATCCAGACTCACTTAGAGGGTAAGACAGTTGGAACCTGTTTCAGAACCTTGCAGATTTTAATCCTGCAGGAGAGCAGGGATCTCAGCTTGGGCCTTCCAGCCAGAAATCAGCCTGACTCTCAGTAGACTACAGCTGGCTTGCTAAGACTAATTGACTTAGACCTGCACACTGCTGCCCATGTTATCTACCAGAACAGCAGACAAATATCCTGAGGGAGGCCCTTTTCTCTCTCTCTCTTTTAAATATATATATATGTTTTCTTCTCTATTTTTTCTCTCTCCTTTCCTGTTCTGCATTTCTCTTCCTTTATTTTCCTGTTCCTGTCCCATTCCAAATTGTTTCTCTCTTGGTCCTCTCGACTGTCACTATTCTTATAGCAAAATGAGTACAGTTTCTAGCTTACATATTGCTGTCAATTTGTTTGTTCTGTTCTTGTCTCTGTTCTTTAGCTCTGTCTTTTTCATTTGTCTTCAACAGTTTTCCACAATTTGTGTGGTCTTCCCGTGTTCTCTAGCTTCACTTGTAACCCTTTCCTTTCCTTCTATTTCTCTGTCCCTCCCTCCCAACCCCTTCCTTGTTTGTTGTTGTTTTTTTTTGTTTTGTTTTGTTTTTTTGAGACAGGGTCTCACTATTTAGTTGAGATTGACCTAGAACTCACTGTGTAGCCCAGGCTGGTCTTGAACTCACAGTGATCCTCCTGCCTTAGCCTCCCAAGTGCTGAGATTACAGGCATGCATCACCACACCCAGCTCCTCCCAATCCCTTCTAAACCCTTATCCTGAAGGGTAAATTTGCTACAGTCAAGGGTTTATTTACTACAAACATATTTTGCTTTGGCCCTAGATTTTGATCTAGCTCACTTGGTTAAAGGTAACAGATTAATTGCTCCCACAAATTGTCATTTTCTAAGCTGTATTTGATGCTATTGTTGATGCTGATTGTGTCATTTGGGCTAAGGTGTCATGATTGATCTAATCAGTAGTCCTCCCTGGTATACTGAAAAACGTGATTGACTAAGAGTTATTAGAAACTCAAAGCCCAAAACAACCAACTATATTGGAAAATATCCCTGAGAAATAGTCACTCCATAAGGGCTCTAATCAGAAGTAATAAAGATACATTAAGAAATATTGAAGTATCAGCCAAGGAATTAAAGCAAAAAACAGTACGAACAACAAAATTAGAAATGAGAAGACACCTTAGCAAGGTGCACACTCAGACTTTCAGTTCACCAGGCACTTCTGGGGGAAGTGAGGTGGAAAAATCTGACAATCAATCACCTGGACATCCTTAAAGTAACAAAACAGATGAATGAGGCTCTAGAAAAATTCAAAACAAAAATAATAGCACAGGAAGTAACAAAACAGATGAATGAGGCTCTAGAAAAATTCAAAACAAAAATAATTTCCCAGATAACTACAGGGATATTAAGCAAAATGAAAGACATGATTAGAGGCTCTAGAACAGAAGTAGATTTAAAAAAATAGATGAGCTCAAGACCATGCTGGAAGCTATGAATGCCCAGCATAGGAAAGAACGGGAAACTATGAATGCCCAACATAGGAAAGAAAAGTAATGCATTAAACAGAATCAAACATATCCAGGAGATCAAAAACTCCATTGAAAGTATCCACAGCAAATTGAATGAATGTGAAGATAGAATATCAGATATAAAAACAGGATTGCAGTTAGTGATCATGAAATGAGAGATTATTTAAAAATACTAAGGGACCATGAGATATTGATCTAACAGCTACTAGATGATGCAAAGAAGAATAATATAAGACTGACAGGACTTTTCTTTGTTGGTAAACTTTTAATTACACTTTCAATTTCAAAGAAGTAAAAGTATCAGGTAAATATATGAAAAAAATATTCCACATCACTGGTCATTCAAGAGATGCAGATGAGAACACTGAGATTGCACCTCACCCCACAAAGAATGGCTGCTATCAAGAAATCAACCAATAACAAATGCTGGTGGGGTTGTGGGGAGAAAGGAACCTGTCCCCGTTGTTGGTAGGAGTGCAGACTGGTGCAACCACTATGGAAATCAATATGGAGATATCTCAAAGATCTAGGATTAAAAGCTCCATTTGACCCAGCCATCCCTCTGCTGGATATCTTTCCAAAAGAATTAAAAGAATCATATCACAGTGATATATGTACACCTATGTTTATAGCAGCACAGTTTGTAATAGCTAAAACTTGGAAATAGCCCATTTGCCCCTCAGTTAGAGACTGGATAAACAAGATGTGTTTTTTCCATAAAATGGAATACTACTCAGCCATAAAGAATGAGAAATTAGATTCATTCATAGGAAAATGGATACATATTTAGGATATACTCCTAAGTGAAATAAATAAGACACACATGTGTAAATACCAAATAGTTTCTCTGGCGTGAAAAACTATAATGGTACATAAGATCCTAGTGATATAATTGACAATGTGAAATAGGAAGAAATGGGCTAAAGGTGTAGGGGAAGTGGGAATGGTAGGGGAAGAGTAATAAGGGAAAAGAAAAAAATGAGAAACTGAAAAAATGGAAATAAAGTATTTGTAAATAGGGAAGGGAGGAGGGGGTGAAGGGAGGGCAGGGATAAGGGGAAAAAATGAGAACCAAGGCCTGTCATGTAAAGGTAAAAGATCCCAATGATGAATGTAACTGTACTGTATACCTAAAATGTACCAATAAACTCAATGAGAAAAAAAAATAAGATTGACAGGAGTCTACGAAAAAGCAGGAGAAAGTACAAATGACTTAAAAAAACTGTTCACAGAAGTAATAGCAGAAAACTTCCCAGAGGAAAACAAATTGACATACAGATACATGAGGCATATATAACTCCAACTACCCATGATCCAAAAATATCTACACTTATAATAATCACTTATAATAATCAAGATCCAGAAACCCAACAAAAGAACAAAATCCTACAAACATATAGTGAAAAGAAACAAATCACATACAAAGGAAAGCCCATCAGAATTACAGCAGACTTTTTGACAAAAACCCTCAAGTCAAGGAGAGGCTGGAATGAATTATTTCAAGCCCTCCCAACCAAGACTGTTGTATCCTGCAAAATTATTCTTCAGAATTGATGTGGAAATAAAATACTTCCATGAAAAAGAACACTGAGAATTTTATGAATACCAAACCAGCACTCTGAACAATTCTAAATAAAATCCTAGTAAAAGACAATGAGGATCACAACTCCATAAGGCCCAACTGAGTAAAGCCATCAGGCAAGGCAAAAACTAAACAGAAAGGGGGAAAAATAAAAGAGCCAAGAACAAAGAAGCATCATGACAAGGATGAGTCTATATTTGTCAGTTATAACCATCAATGTTAATGGCCTCAATTTATCAATCAAAAGAAATAGACTGGCAAAATGGACTAAGAAGCAAAATCCACCAATGTGCTCTGTACAATAAACATACCTAATTAAAACAAAAATTCATAGACTGAAAGTAAAAGGATGGAAAACAGTTCTCCATCTGACAGGAACCCAGGAAAAGGCAGGGGTAGCTACTTATATGCAGACAAAGTACATTTCACACTAAAACTAATTAAAAGAGACAAAGAAGGACACTACATCCTTGTAAAAGGAACAATCCAAGAAGAAGAGATGACAATCATGAATATATGCACTAACTACTAATATCCCCAGTTACACAAAACAAATATTAATGGACATGAAAAACCAAA